CAATGTCTCGGCACCGCTCGTCGACGCTGATTAATCGGCCGAGTTGGACGGTCCGCCGGCGGTCACGGACGCTCTCTGGGGCCGCGGGTGGCGCCGGCCGACCCAGCCGACTCCAATCCCAAGTTCGGAACGCCACTGCGAGCATGCCGCTGGGGATGTATTCTGTTCGGGGCGGCGCGACGAAATGCCATCTGGAAACGTGCCATCTGTCTGGCTTAGGGAACGGCGGTGGCTCTGAGCTCATTGTCCTTGGAACTGTGATACACAGCCGACGGGTCCGGTCGAGGTTGATTTGGGCCAGTAGGTATGTAATCACCGACCATGCTGGGGGAGCGCCGTGCTTCGACGGCCCCGGCCGACTTTCGTGACTAGGGTAACATGCATACTGGAGTCGCATGCCGACAGGGCGGTATTACGATCGAACTTTGCAGCGCCTGCTCCGAGTTGCTGGCAGTAGCGCCACTGGCGTAGGAAACTGGCGGCGGTTCTCTGCTGTATCGACATTTCCCGTGCGCTGAACGGGAAACGGTGTGGCGGTTGGGTCGTGAGAACCGTCCGCCACACGATAACGGGAACTGCTCGACGATTCACCAATGGCAGGCGGTGCCCCACCTCAGTGGTCATAATCGAGCTGTTATCGAGCCTCGAAACGGTCACCGATAAGCGGCAGAATAGCTCACTGTGTGTTTTGCGATCTCGAGTTCTACGACTGTCTCAGAATGAGGTCGATAGCATTACCACAGATGAAGAAACCTTACAGGATGCCGGGGGTAAAATGTTCCGTGTAGCGCTATCAAATGTTTCGTCATAAGACGGCCGTAGAACTCCAAATAGCATAAACACGGTGAGCTATTATGGTTCGTTGTGATATACGGGGCTGAAAAAGTGGAGCATGTTCCACGTCGGATTATGTCAGCTTGTTGACAGGATAGAGGGTTTTGCCTCCGGTTCTGTCAGCGGTCGGTACATCAGCCCCGTGACGGGTGCATTAGTTGCCGACGTCGGCTGTCTTCCTAGCTGGACATGCTCCAACACTGTTCGGCCTACGATCAATGCCGAATGGCTTTAGTCCGTGTGCGTGGTAGCCAATTATAGCCGGCGGCATAGCTGTCGTGTGACAGGCTGTACGGTGGACCATATTGGCACGATTGTTTTGTTGTGCCCGTGCACATAGTGTGCATACACACGGTGTGTGACACGGGACCATTTGTCAGCGGAATCGCGTCCGACCGCAACGGCGTCTTGGCAACGGCACACAGCGGCCGCCAACACCTGACCCCCCCCCCCCCCCGCTCACCTGACACGCTGGCGCCGCGCCGGGCCCCTCTGGTCCAAGGTCGCTAGCTGAGTCACGGCCGACCGCCGCCGCTGTGACTTGTGACAACGCACTGCGGGCCGCTGCGCGCCGCCTGTCGCGCCCCCGGGTAAATTGTGGCCCATTTCGCAGAAGGCTGGCGCGTCTGATTGCGCACCTGGCTCATCCTCTGGCTCTCCGGGGTCGGTGACGCCCGATGCCGATGTTGCCGCTGCTGGCTGGCGCTGGCACAAGCGCTGGTTCAAGGCCAGGGGGCCTTCCCGGGGTGCGGCGGGGGCGGTGTGGCCCTCGCTCAAGGCCCTATATACCCCCTCGCTGACGACAAAGGCGCGTGTGAGTCGGCCAGCCGGTGTGCCAGCTCTCCCGAGGGCCGCGTTCGACTCAGTCAGTCCCCCGCGGTGATCGGCTGAGGTCGGACTCGAGCAGACTCTCAGCGTCGCAGACTAAGACTTCGCTCAACGAACGCTTATGCGGTGAGAACGACTATATGGAACTCCAGTTTGGTAACGTATTCAAACCTTCGTGGTCGGATTAGTCAGAAGTTTGAATGGGAGCAGTCGTGTCCCAGTGAAAGGTGTGGGCTCCTCCGTGCATGACGCCTTTTGAGTGGCGTTTTTCAGTGCTGAGGTTCACTGGCCCGTCTTTCATCTACGGCGTGACTGGGTCCGGCGCCACGTCATTTCCATTTCTTTGCGGTCGGTCGTGGCGATGCTAATCGGGACGAGTGGATGGCGTGCCGTATCGCGGCTCTCACGCCACGCTCCGGTTTCGTTGTCTGCAGGTGGCCTTCACTGTTAGCTCACATTCTCCCGTTATTGAGCTGAAACTTATCATTCCGTGGATGACTTGTTTGTGAGCCGTGTGAGAGTTTTTGAGTGATAGAGTGGGTGAGGCTCCGAGTGTCATCGCTGCGGCGCTGTGTGTTGCGGCTGTGGATAAAGTCGCTACACACTACGCATACCGTGCTGTTCTTTATGTATGCCGGTAGCGCAGGGTTCTGTGCTCGGTGTCTGCTCGCCTCAGCCGGCTCAGGACTTAGCTAGTCAGTCGGGACAGGCCGGGCGCCGCTGCACGCTGTCCACGTGTGCCGTGCACGCTGGCCAGTTACAACCCGCAGCACAGAGCCGTCCGGTTGTCCTTGAGCGTGCGATCGAGTGCCCCCCCCCCCCCCTCCCGGCCAGCCGGCGCTCGACAGTCACGGTCAGGGCAGTGCAGTGCCGATTGCAGCGGCTCACTCCCTGTGCATTTGGCGTGACCGACGGCAGGGGCGGGCTGACATTGCTGACAGTCATATCACGCACGGGCACCGACCACCGAGTGGCCAGCAGATCAGACCACCTGATGAGCGTGGAATGTTGCTGCTGGGTGGCCGAGCTATCTCACATGTCATCCGCGTGGAGCGTCCAGCAGCGGCCGGGCTCTGGGATGTGTGAGGGAGGGAGCGCCATGACCCGGTGCGCCGCCATCCCGGGGCGCCTCGCTTCCACGTGGCCGGCCGTCCAGGTGTGCTGACGTCGCTCTGCTGTGTCATGACGTCACGCTGCTGTGTCACGGTCGCGCAAAAGGGCCAGTCACGGCTGCCTCTCTCCACGGGCATCTTCGGACGGAGCTGAGGTCTCAGAACACATTCTACCACACTCCACAGTCTGCGTGCCGAGCGGCGAGCGTGTCGGCAGACGCGGCTTAGAGCAGGGCTCCTGCTTGATCTGTTGTGTCTGCTACGGCGTGTAGACGGGCTCGCGTGAGTGCCGTCTGAGCTCTAAGCCGCTCTTCGAGTCGACCTCGCTCACGTCTTTTTGCCAGCCGACAAAACAACATATTTTTTTACACCAGTGGCTCTGACAGTCTGTGTTTCTATGCCGGTGTGGGGACACAGGTGCTTTGTTCCACTCTGACTAATTGAGCTCTTTTCTTGTTTATGAATTGTTTTATGGTCCGTAACCCGCCCGAACGTGTCGTGCAGTGATGACTGCGGGCTGTGGCGTTTCCTACTCAACCCTTACCCGACGACCCGTTGAACCAGGGCGCAGGTGGCACCCGGCCGCTGCCAGAGGTCGGGGGAGGTTCCCTGTCACAGTGTTGATGGATGTCCCCGAGCTGCGGCACAGGTCGTGCGCTCAGTCACTGTCGAGCGACGACCTCAGCTCGGTAATACATCCGTCAGCGGCGAGCGCGGTCTGCACGCCGCGCGGACGACAGACCCGGCTACCTGCAGCGTAGACAATATCCCCCTCTCTCGGATTCTGTAACCCTGACCACACCGCGGCAGACATGCCCACTGCGTTCGTAATAATTCATGACGGATGTTCGCGGTGAACCCCCGAGTTCCACTCTCGCCGGGCGCTGTGGGTGACATCGGCGTGACATCCGCCCGCTCGTTCCGGGCGTCTCTCTGCAGTTTGGCGGACGGGATGGGGGCGATACGTCTCCGGCTGCAGCCGGAGAGACAGGCGCCAGCCGGGACGGTCCGAGGACCACCAGCGGAGGCCGGCCTCCCGTCCGTGTGAGCTCAGCCGTCCGTGCCCGGCGGCGGTGTCGGCGTGTGCAGCCGGCGCCGTGTGATACAGCACGGCCCCGCGGGCCACGGTCGGCTCCACACTGCAGCGAGCGGGTGGTTACCGAGCACTGAGCGGGATGTCAGGCGGCGCCGACCGGTGCAGAGAGCTCTCACGGCGTGGAGCCGCGGCGCCCACCAGCTGTTCGCTGCACCGACCGGCGGATGGAGAGCGGGCGGCGGCCTCCGCGCTCGTCACTCTCTGTCGGCGGGAGGCTGTTTTTGCGGCAGGTGTCCGCCGCTCCGCGCCGCCTGCCGATGGCACTGCGATGGAGAGCGTGATTGTCGGGCCAGATTGCTGGGTTAGATTGTCGGGTCTGAGTCGTAGAGATTGCTGTGTCAGTGACACGCAGTCAAGCCGCGTGGCCCAGATCGGCCCCATGACTTTGCATAGGCTTTAACGAACCATAATCGAAGTCTGCTCAGACTGAGGTAGCACTGGAGCATCCTTGACTCGCCATTTTGCCTACCCCATCTCACTGCTGCCGTCTCGTGCAGCTCCACGACACACACCAGTCCTGCTAACACCGGCGTGCCGCGGCGCTGGTTCGATGCCTCTGAGTATTTTCTGAGCGCGGCCGCCGTCCGTGCCTCCGCGTGTGCCGTAGCCGAGACGGCGCACCCATTGTCCGCGCCAAGGTCGCTCGGGTGGCGATAGCGCGCTATCCTGCACTGCCGACGGCCCGGCCGTGGCGACAGTGCCGGTGCACGGGGTTCGGAGCCCGGCCCGCGATGGCCGCCGATACCGCGGTGATGTCGGGTCACGCCTCCGATAACGGGTGATGGTATTACAAACCTGTGGGCGTGGCGTGTCAGCTGCAGGCGTGAAGACTGCCGAGTGGCTCTCGATGGCGTGCTGCGTGACATGACGCCCGCTGGAGGTGGGTTCTGCTCCCACGGTGATTCCGGGACCGTGTGGAAATCGTGACGTCATAGGGGCGCTGTCGGCTCCGCTGGATAATCGCATTATACTGTCATGCATGTTAATCCCATGTCATGCTAATGTCTCTGTTTGGCTTTGTTTATATCCAGCTTTAACGGCCACTTCCATGTTGATTGCATGGCCAGTGTGATTTCAAAGTTCGCCAGTCGGTTTCACCCTCCTGACCCTGACGTTTCTCTCGTTCACAGTCGGGAAGCGGCCGAGAAGCAGCAGCGAGAGGCGGAGAAGCAGCAGCGCGAAGCGGAGAAGCAGCAGCGCGAAGCGGCCGAGCGGCTGCGTCAGGAGGAGGAGCGCAAGAAGCAACAGCAGGCTGTCTCACAGCACTTCGCTGAGAGCATGCGGCTCATGCAGCAGAAGGTAGGTGACCTTTTGAGAGCTGGAGCGCCGAGCGGCGCCTTTTTCAGCCGGCAGACACGGGCAGGGGAGGAGGGGTCCGCCCGCAGCGCTCCCAGCCCGCCGTCCGTCCGTCGGAGCCCGTGTATGGTCTGCGGCCGGCCGGCGAGGCCGCGGCGGCTGCGGTCAGCCCTGTTGACATGACCGCAGAGTGGACCGATTTGGACCGACCGCCGGCTCTGTGTATGTCGTTCCGAGCCAGACAGCTGCACCGAGTGTGTTTGTGACTGTCGTATACCGAACCCGTCCGAGGAGAGACGGTCCAGACCCAGAGTGGGTCGGTCGGCCGGCGCTAGCCGCGGTTTGGAAACGACCCACCATGCGCCAGACTTCTACTTTGATACTTTGATTATGCTGATGCAGACTGATATCCTTGAGGCTCTGTTGGTCCGGTTTTGCAATTTTGCTGGCGAGCAGCTGGTGCTGGTGGCGTGTTAAAACGTGGAGTCATTCGTGCGGACGACTAGGGTGGACTCAGTTGGATCACAGGACACAGTAGTCACTGTGCTGCGTCATAACTGTGCTGTCGTTACAGCTATGCTGCCACAGCGCAGTGCTGTCGTTACCGCTGTGCTGCTGCGGCCTTTGTCCCATCTGCAACGTACCCTGTGACACCGAGCGACCCGGCCAGCGAGCTGGCCTGTCCCCCGGGAACGAATGGCTCCACTCCAACTGGCCCCGAGCGGGCGCGCCCATCAATCGGTGCCGAGACACGTGGCGGCCGAGGGGCGACCATGGGGAGAGCTGACGACCATGGACTGGTCGTGGGTGGCATGTGTCAGCCTTGAGAACCGCAGACGTCTTTCCGTTTAGAGATCAATTTGTGATTTCTAAATCGGGCTTTGTATATGACATCTGTGAATGTGTTGCGCAGTTCGCCAGGCTGCGTTGGTGGAGACAGACCACAGTCGTGGGAGGCGCGTCGTCTCACGTCACCCATCGCGTCACGCGCGGCTGCCACGGCCACCGGCGCCGAGCTGCCACTTTCTCGGACCAGCTGGCGCACCGCCAGCGCTCCACGAGCCCGTGCGGAACGGACCGCTCGCGAGCGCCCGCTCGACGCCCGGCGGCGGCCGGCTTCCGCTCGTCATCGGCCGATTGCCGGCGCGGTGGGACGCGTTGGCCAGCGCAGCTGGGACGCTCTAAGTGGCCGCCGCCGCGGTAGTTACGCCCAGCTGCCCGACGGACCGCCGACAAGTTTGGCGACTCTGGGAACTAACTCTGTCCGGCTGCGGGAAGTTGGACCAAATGCCACCGGACTCGGCAATCTGCGAGTGTGGTGCTGAGGAGGGGTTTGTAGACTGGGAGAGTCCTTGTCAGACAGTCCGATGGCCAAAAGTCTGTTGAGTACGCGCGATGAGAGCGTCTGTTCGTCCGTCCGCTCTGATTCGTTCTCCGTGCCCCGGAGGCCTATGCTCACTGCGGCGCACAGCATCCCCGCCCACAGCGTGTCGGTCGTTACCATGACAACGGAGAGCAGCGAGAGACGCCGCCGGGGAAAGGTCATCGGCTGCGAGCTCCATCGCAATGGCCTGGGTCGGTCGGCCGCACCGGCACTCAGCGCGAGCGGTCCGGTGCGTCGCAGATCCTGTCTGCAGCGGGAGCGGATTCATCGGAGAGATGGGTCGCCCCACGCGCCGGACTCCCCCGTCATATTGATCTGGCGATAGGCTCCGGCGGTGAGATTGACTGAGATGAGATTGAGAAACCTGAGAAATCTCCTTCTATGGTGATCGCCTATGATGCCGCTGAGCTGGCGGCCTTCCGTTCGGCCCGCTGTGAGCTTTTATCGGAGCACAGCTGTGTGCTAGCGGTAGGCGGATGCGAACCAGGCCCCCATGTAGGACACGATACGCCGGACCCACCGGATGTTCAGCTCGCGGCTGAATCCCGGAACGGAAGGCGACGTTCGGACGGACCGGCGGCCCCGCGGGCAGGTGCACGTAGCGACGTGTGTCGATAAAGGCCGGCGGGCCGTGGATGGGTGACGGTCCCACCGGCCCGGGCCCACCTGTTGCCGAACCGTGCTGCGGTGAGCTCGTCATCACTGGTGATCCCCGGCTTTTATCGTGATGCGGAATTAGAGGTCGACTCGGGCACTCGGTCATTGTTTGGTCAGGAAGTCCGGTCGCGTCATCGCAGCTCACTACCGTGCGTGCGGCGGTTCGTGACGCGTCGTGCTACTCCGCTCGTGACTCTGTCACGCCGTTCGGTGATATTTGGGCGGCGAGCCGCGCTCGGCGTGGTCATGACATGCCGTGCCGCCGTGCCGCGGCACGTCGCGTCGTTTCGTGTCGGGCGGGGTCGCACCGGGATGGTCGACCCGGCGGCACGGTAGCGCGGCAGCGGTGGCCGGCCGCCGGTCAATACGGCTCTGTGAGTCAGGCCGGCCCGGAAGTCGGCCCGTGGCTCGCCGGTCGACGCGCCGTGCTTCCGGGACCGTGAGTCACGCTGTTGGACAGCGTGGGGTGGCGTCAGCCAGTGGACGCCACCGCTTGGGCGGACATGGGGTGAATATGATCGCCATATGATCGGCAGTTATCCTCGGCAGGTGGAGCTCAGCTGCCTGTCACTTCAACAATCTTGGAACTCTGCTTTGCAAAATCAATATCCAGTGGAAGCTATTTACGACTGTGAGAGATATGTTGCTTACAATGCTTGTGTATCGTGCCCGTGCGGCTCGCCGCCTGTTCTGTACTAATCCGCCGCGCACCTGGCCCACGCGACCTACGACTGTCGAATTAGTCGACTGATTTTATCCCGAGACCGGCCTGGGCAGAACGGGTTTGGCCGCCGATTGTGGGCTGATATACCCGAGCGCAGACCCTGTATTTGTCCGGCTCGGTGCAGCTGAAGCTGGTGGATTTCCAGTCGCTCCCCTCCCCGTTCCCAGTCTCTCGCAGGCTGTGTTCCATCTGCGTGGAAGGGTGCGAGCAGCAGCGTGCGTCTCCTGGCGCCCAGCTGTGCTCGGCTGGGGTTACGGATCGGTATGAGGAGGGGCTGTTGACCGCGGCCGGCCGACATACCGGCGCACTCCGCCCCTCAGCCTCTACCCTCTCTCCCCGCGCGGCTGTGGTGATGTTCGAACCTCCCGTCCCTTTCTCTCCGGCTCGCTCGGTCCGGTGGCGGGGATGAGGCTCCACCGAGCACCACTGATGACTCCACTGCCGGGGGCGTGTCGCAGTGACTCAGCGCGGTGCGGGCCGACTCCGATCGCCGCTGACCGCGCCACTGCTGCCCCGGACAGGGCGCGGCGCCGACAGCCGGCGGCCGGCCGCTGCATACGAATGGCGTGTCCGGTCGCCGCCGGGCTCGAACAAAGGAGCGCGCCGCGCCGGAGGAGGACCGGCCGCCGCGTCCTGTCCCGATCTGCAGACCGCCGCTGCACGTGGCCGCTCCGCTGGGAGCGGGCGAACCGCTCGGCGCAGCGCGGGCCCGTGTTGTGTTGTCGGTCGAACCGCTCTCCTTTTGTGGCCGGCCCAGCGACCGACTCCCCCGCACCGCACAGCGCCGCGCCGCGCCAGCCGGCAACAAAGACGGTCGGCCGGGGCCAAAAGTCAACGGCCTACTCCCGTGGGAGCCAGCGCCGGCGGCGCTGGAGGCGGACCGAACGAGACTGGGGCGGGACGACGGCCGGCAACTGATGAGCTGGTGAGCTGGTGAGCCGGTACTCAGCGCGCTCAGTGAGTCGTGTCAGTGGCGAGTGCCAACGCGGCGCGAGCGGCTGTGGTCGCCCAAATCACACCATGCTGGACGATATCAGACCGTCATGGTCATGACAGCAGTCCGCCGCGCCGCCTCGCCGAATCGCTGTCGGCGCGGCCCATATTGAGCGGCTGACTCGCGCGGCGCGCTGGCCCCTCAGCAGCGACGACCTCGGGCGGCGCGCGGGACCGAATCGATGCGGGACGCGCCCGCGCCGCACGCCAATGGCATCGATTGTCGCACCTCGCAGTCGGGCCGTGCCGCCGACAACCCCTCCGCGCGATCCGTGGTGGAGAGGAGGGGAGCGGGAGAGGGAGGGAGGCGCTCAGAAGAGATGGGGAGATCGGGAGAGGCGGGCACTTTCGCTGCCGACTCGGCGCGGGTCGTGTGCCGTTTCTCCGGCCGCCGGCAGTGCTGACAGAGCAGTTCGAACGACGGACGCTGACGTGGCTGGCGGCGCCCCGCCGGAGCCTGAGAGGTGCACGGCCCAGAGCACATCACAGTGCAGCGCAGTATTGGGGCCGCTCGGCCGTGGACGCATTGAGGTCAATTCCGATAATTTGAAATAAACTGAAACTGTCCGAGCGAAAAGGTCTGTAATTGGTTTCCAGCCAGAGACCGAGATGGATGACCGATGTCTGCCTATGTGGCAGATTAATGTCCGATGCTCGGGTCGGACCGCAGCAGGGCACCTCCTGCAGTGAAGCCACTGCACGGCGCTGCACTGGCGGCGGTTACCAAAGTTGAGCAGGAACCCAGTGGGCGGTGCCGGGAGGTGGACCACCTCTCAGCGCCCCCGGCGCTCCTGGCAACTTGCCAACGCCGCACCACGGCCGCGCGCCGTTCCGCCGCGCGCGGCCGTCTCTGGTGACCTGTGGCCCCAGCGCGACCTGCGGCCCTAACATTACCTGTGTGACTGCCCTCACCTGTGGCCGGTCCGCAGGGATTGACTCTGCCATGAACGGGTGGCCGTGTTGGCGCGGTGAGAATTTTCCACCGCGTCACGCGGCCAGCTGCGCCGTTCGGAGAAGGCGCTGTTCCGCTGACTAACGCCTCCGCTGGCTGCTGCAGTGGGTATCGGTCAGCCGTTCCGTGCACCCTGCAGAACCCGCCCCTGCCAGCGGACCCCTGCCGAGCCCGACCGGTCGGCTGACTCAGGAGGCGCTCCTCGCCGCGCGCGGTGACGGCCGCGGTGACGGTGGTTGTGTCTTAGGTCACCGATCGATGGGGAATCCCTTCCGCATGTGGCGCAGGCTGGTGTCTGTGCGCCACCTGTGCTCGCTGCGGTATGGGTGTTCATAATGCACCGCCCCGGCCCGTTTGTTCAGGTGCCGTGTGACATTTAACGCCATAGGTCGCGGTCAAGTGACGGCGCCATTGATTCGGTAACCTTTGTTTTACGATGACGTGGGATGCCTCCATATGGCCATGGCTATGAGCTCTTCTGATGGCGCTGGTGTGCGCTGTGATTTGGAGCCGATCGATGGCCCCGTTTGGCAGCGACTCTCGCCGCCGGCACGCTGCCTTATCAGCGCCGCGAGGAAGCCCGCTCCCGCCGCCTGGCTGGGACACTTGAGTGTGGGTTTGAAATGTCAGCGATGTGCCACACTGGGTTCAATTTGCAGGCGTTGACGTGAGGTCGGCACGCCCGCACGACGGAGGCGGTGGCTCGTCGAGGGGTCTCACGCCGTGGCACGAGCGGACCACGGACGGCGTGCGGCCGTGCATAATGGCACCTGGCAGGAAGGGCAGCGCGCCGCCCCCTGTTGCCGGCCCCATTCACCCCACTCGGCTATCGATAAAGCACCACTCAGGCGTGAGTGGGACGGGGTCGGAGGGCGATATGCACCAGACACGGTATACGTAGACGGGCGTCTGAGGACGCGGCGGCTGAGCGACGGGAATGGGGACGCGTCACTTTGTGGCGGCTGTCAGTCCAGCAGTAAAGATCGGCCTCCGTCCCGTCCCCCCCCCCTCCGCCCTCCCGGGCGCGGCTGATACCACATTCAGACGCCATGACGTCGGTAAACATCGGCCCCAGTGAAGACCGGCCAGAATGCATTCCTCGTTTATACACAATGAGGCCGTCGCGAGCGGCGCTCGCTGGAACGAAGAGCGACCGCGGCGCGACGCCGACTCGCCATTATTCATAATGAAATGGCACGTGCGACGCCTTCGAATACAAAGCGGGCCGAGTGCGTTCGATGGAGCCAAATGTGGACTGGTTCCAAATGGATGTCGCGCATACATAATGCATGTCGGTCCTAGGAAGTGTCGCGGGACTACGCCACGATGGGTTGGTGGAACGCGGTGTAAGAAATTAGAGCACCCAAGCACCTGTCATTGGCAGACATTATGCGAGCTGCTACCTGCTGACAGGCGTGCTTCTATCGTTAAAAATCGCGTGCAAGATAGCAATCTTCGCTCCGTATTCGTGCGACGACGGTCTGCGTGCGTGACCAAATATGGTCGCAGGCATCCAACAGCCGGCGGGTCCCAATTTCACTCGGCAAACGACACAGAGAACGCCGGGCTCTCACCGTCTGACGAGCTCTCGGCGGGCCGCCGGCGGCCACCGAGCGCGCGGTTTGTCCTTGAGCCGCTATCGGCGCCCCATGGCCGCTGTCGGTTTCGGGACGCCCGTCCATTGCCGGCGTGTGTTGCGACATGGCGCTACCGGCAGTGGTGAGGAGTCACTGCCTGTGGGGTAGAATGAGGAATCTGACAGGTCGCCTGGGAACGATGCGGTATCTGGTGTGCCGGGCACAGTAGCCGTGGTTGGGGGACTGTGAAGAACATGATTACAGAATCCGGAATCGTGCTGCTGTGTTTGATTATATTTCGTGTTTATAAAACGGGCGATTGGCGTGCCAGTAGAACAGCAATCTCAGCGAATTACTGCGGTTTACATATTGGTGGACATGGTGGTGTCTCCGTCAGCCGCGTAACGTTATTTCAGTCCTCTGAAGGACAAAGGTGGCTCATTGATAGCCTTCAAACGATCATCGGGCGGTATCAAGACCTCCAGCTACCTGAGCTGTCCCGGTCGGCTCCGACTGCCGTCCAAGGGGCGATGGGCAGGGCCGCGCGGCAGGGCTTGGTTCCAATCTCAACGCCCGGGTGGGGTCCACTGCGGGCACTCACGAGCACCAGGCGGCACGGACCCAGCGCGACTGTATGTTTACTCTGGAGTGTACCAGAGCCTGTCAGCCAGTCACTCGCCCAACTCTCTCCAGGCGATCCGACGGACTTTCGAGCTGACAGACGGACGGAATGTTTGATTGCCTTGGTTAGCTTTCAAGTCGATAGATCGACTGGCGGCGGCGAATCTTCATGCGCAGACTGTTGTGTTGAGTTACGAGCGCCATATAACTTTATCGCTGCGGCAGCCCTGACACACAAATCATCAGGTTGCAGCGAGTTTCGTTTGGGGTCGTCCAGGAACTGATAATGATGCTCGGGTTTAAAAGTCTACTATGGGACATTTCCTCGATATCAACACGGTCTGCTCCGTAGTGTGACCATTGACTGCAGTTTGACGGAACCGATGCTATAACACTGATCGGTCGGCATGCAACAAGTGCCCTGGAACGTCGTTGTTTTGCAGGCGGCGCCGCCACAAAAGAGAGGCCTGTTTTTCCGCGGCCGACCGATTTCCTCGCTGGTGTTTTCCTATGACGATAACCTAGCAACTGGCCGACCGAAACTTCGCCGGCTAAACTGACTGTCTTCACAAGGAACTGACTGTGAAAGCAGAGCTGCAGCGGTGAAGCCACATGCTGGCCTGCTGAATATGAATGTGACACGCTTATTTAGCGCGCAATAGCATCGCATTTTATGCTGTATTCGAGGGATGAATGCTGCGTAGTGTGTAGCCACCTTGTTCGCCCGATTCTTGGTGCAAGGCTACTCGCACTGTCCTTTGTTTCACTACCACGTGCCAGAGAGGGCGGGGTGCAGGTCTGCGCACTGCCGTGTATCTGGGATGGCGCTGACTCCTGCAGCCCGTCCGTCCCGACCCGTCCGACCGACCACTGCACGACCTTGGCTGCGATCGTCCGGTGTTTGTTTACCTGGTGCTCGTCGTATGGTGTCGGCGGCGCTGCCAGGCCAGTAAAAGCAGGACGAGGCGCTTTGCCCCCCCCCCCCTCGCCGCTGCTAAGGGCTCTTGACGACTGTTGTGGCGCCGACCAGCAGTGACTGCCAAGGTCGCGCTGTATGCGTGAGGCGCACCAGGGGCACACGTCTGGCCGGCGTGCTGTCCGTCTCTGCCCGACTTTGTGACCCTGCCCTGGCTCTGTTGTCGGGTCCGCGGCGCCGGCGGGCCCAGCTGGCCTCGCTCTAAGTGCCCTGTTTACAAACGGGCTCGACCCCACGACCGAGTGAGCGCGATGCGGGCTCTCGGTGAAGGGCGTCTGCTCCGGTAAACCCTGGACGCTCGGAGATGATGTCAAGATACGGACAGGATCGGTGGATTGGGGACTGCGGACGGCGGGCGAGGTAGACTGGTGGAAGCGTGGTAATGAGTAGACGATGCCTGGTTGTTAGTGGTTTTGCGCTTCTGAATTTGTCGATAGAGGGTCAACGGGTGCGGTTGAATTTGGCCCATCAAAGTGTAGCAGAACTGACAGGTTCGGGGTCGCGTGAAATGTTGAGGAAATATCGGCATGCTTGGTTGCACCGAATAAGGCAATTGCATGTCTGAAACAATGCATTCAGCATCAGAAATTTACCTGCCGATGTAATGAGTTACTGTTGCGTCAGTTACGAGACAGTGAGAAGGAAGATCGCCGAGCTATGTTGATTGGTGGCGGCTTTTGACAGACGGGCGCTGGGCATGGAGTAATATCCCTGTGTAGGTCAGTGGTCGGCCAGCCAGCCCCTGAGGACGGAATGAGCTCTCGGGTGTTCGTGCGTGCGTGCTTCTGTGTGAGTTGGCCTGTATTCAGCGGGCTCGATCTGACCTCTATGCACCTCTAGAGCAGGGTGGGTCGCGCGGACCGCGGAACCAGGCTGCCACAGCCGGGGGCGCGTCTGTGTGTTTACGTTGTGTTGTTTGTATTGATCACCTCTGTTTGGACTGCGAGTTGTGGGAACCGGGCCAGCTGAGTCATGTGATCGCTGACTGGTGATGATATTAGTGTGCAGTTGTGTGGTGTTCTTCACTGACCTGTCTGCCCGTCTGTTCCTCAGGGTCGACTGGGCTCGGCTCCCCCGGGTTCGTCCGCCGGCGGCCTGCCGGGCCTGCCTCCCGCTCCCCCCAGCGGCCGGTACAGCGACCTCCGGCCGGGCGACGTCTCCTCCGAGCCGGAACGGATGATCCACGACCGCATCCACCGGCTCTACCAGAGCACCGAGCCGGCCGGGCAGCACAAGCCGGAGCCGGCCGGGCCGGCGGCGGCCGCTGTCCGCCCCGGCTACCCGGGGCCCGACTACCTGGCCTCCTACTACGATCAACTCAAGGGTGTGCAGATGCACGCCGCCAAGCCGCCGCCGCCGCAGCCGCAGCCGGTGGCCGATCGTCACAGCCCGTACCTGCCAGCAGCCCCTCCCGGTACGTGCCAGGGCGCGCTCAGAGGCTGGGGACCTGCCGTGTGGTGAGAGGGAGCGGTGCCAGGTGGCGCCCTGGGTCGGGCGCCGCTGGGAAGGCATTGTGCAGGTGGCGTGCTCGTCTCGGGATTTGCCAGGGTTGGATAGCGAGGCAGATGGTGTCGTAACACGGATGTCGCATAGCATACCAAAAGGTTTATGCTTTGTTTAGTTTCTTTTGCCGTTGGTATGCATTGGAAGTCTGTATATGGCTCAGAGCGCTCATGTTTATCGATCATGTGACTAAGGGATACGAATACCGTTGATCTGATTCATTGATATCATATCTGCAGGAAGTGTCATCAGAATGCAGATAGTAGATCGGCTTTGCGTATGACGTGTAACTCGTGACGCGTGGTTTGACGTGGTTATCTATGCTGTATTTCTGATTGTCGCCCCTCCCCCTCCATCTGCAGGTCAGCCGAGCTACAAGCCGCCGATGTCGCACCCTCCGCACGGCCGCTCGCCGGCGCCACCGGAGGCCCGTCTGCCGCCGCCGCCGCGGCCCGTGCCGGCGCACGGCGGCGAGCGCAGCTGCTCGCCGTACCTGCCGCCGGCGCCGGCGGTACCGCCGCCCCCGCACCGCTCCGTGTACTCACCGCCGGCGGGTCTGACGGGCGCCGGCAGCCGGCCGCCGCCCCCGGCTCACGGCGGCCGCCGGCCGGCCACGCCGCCCACTCAGCACCAGACGCTCGACCTGAGCGTGGGCTCGCGCGCCGCCGCCGCCGGCCGCGAGTCGCCCAAGAGGCCGGCCTCCACCCCGGTGCTGAACCTGGGCGTGTCGCCCGCCAAACGGCCGCGTCCCGAGGAGCAGCAGTCACAGCAGCAGCAGCAGCCGCCGGCGAGCCGGCCCGACGAGCCTCTGGCTCTGGTGGCCAACCCAGTCCGCTCCTCGGCCAGCCCGGCGCCTGTGGTTCGCGAGCGCGACTCATGGTCGGCGCCGCCCGCTCCGCCGGCACCGGCGGTCATCTCATCGGCCTCCGCGCCGCCGTCAGGCACCTCTTCGCCGGCGCCGGCCGACGTGGCTGTCAAGGTGGAACCGGTCGATACTCGGCCATCCACCTACACACACAAACTGAAGAAGAAATGGCTGCAGCGACACGCCGGCGGCGACACCGAGTCGACACCGTCCAGTGTGAACGGCTCGTCAAACCCACCGGCCGAACTGCCCAACGGTAGCGCTGAGGGCGTCAAACCAGTCATCAAGGTGTCGCCACCGAGCAGTGTAAAGTCGGAGCCGGCCGAGTCGGAGGCTGCCGCGTCTCCGGCGCCTACTCCGACCGTCAGGTCGACCCCGCCGTCACCGCCGTCGGCGCCCGAGCCGAAACCGGCGGCGGCAGTGAACGGTGACGGTGACTCGGATAGTTCTGACAGCACACCGCCGGCCAAGCGGAAACCGGCGCCGCGCCGCAAGCCGCCCAAAAAGGCCGCCCTGGAGATCGCTGCCGCTGTGACCCCGCCGCGTGAGGCCAAGCGCCAGAAGGTGTCGGACGCCAGCGACTCAGATAGTGATAAGGGTAGTGAGGAGGACGACACGCCCACCCGTGATGTCAGGAGACAGGACACCAAGTCGGCCAAGAAGCGCGGCCGACGCACCAAAGAGAAGCCGGCCAAGACACCAAAGCGTCCCGCGAAGCCAGAAAAGAAGGAACCGTCGCCACCCAAGAAGGTAGAATCCTTCAAGAGGCCGTCTATATCCAAGCTGAAGAAGTCAGGCGCGAGTTTTGTGCAGAACCAGTCATGCTGCGACCTCTCGTCGAAATTACCCAAGTGTCGCGAGTGTCGTATCACCCAGGGTCAGCGAAATAAGAAGCTGAGCAACTGCTGTCGGTTCACGTCGTTCCGCCGGCTGCGGTACACCAAGTCTGGCGTTCTGACGGTGGCAGGCTTCTGCGACCCGGAAAAGGATGCCGAGGAGGAGGACAAGCGTCTGTGGCTGCCAGCCGAGCGCGGCCAGTCGCCGCCGGCTCCGCAGATGCAGACTGAGGTGGCACGCCTCCTGCTGAACCACGCCAGCAACCAGTTCTGCGAGCTGGTCGGCGTCGAGCAGGAGGCGGCGCGGAGGCACATGAACACCGACAAAACAGTCGCCTGGAAACGGGTCGTGCACGGCTACGGCGAGATGTGTGACGTGTGCGAGACGAGTCTGTTCAACGTGCACTGGGTGTGCTCCAAGTGCGGGTTCGCCGTGTGCATGGACTGCTACCGCACCCGGCAGGAGGGCACGGTGCGGGCGGGCGTCGAGCCGGGCCGCGACCGCGACCGGTTCCAGTGGATGCTCTGCAGCAGCCGGCAGCCGCACGACCAGCAGCGGCTGATGCTGACTCAGATTGTCACCGGTGACGCGCTCTCGTACCTGGGCAGCCGGGTGCACGACGCCCGCCGCCGGGCCGGCATGGCGCTGGTGTGCCAGTGTGAGTCGGCCCGTCGCCCGGAGCCCTCCGAGACGGCCGAACTGTCGAACGGAGCGCGCCACAAGCTGGACGAGTACGACGGCGGCGACCAGGACGACGACAAAAAGGGATCGCCGCTCACCCTGCTCGCCAACGTGGCGCTCTACGACTCCAAGAAAAACTCGGACGTGAGTGGTTTTACATATCATTTTTTGTCAATTTAACTTCACTGTTGCCTTTTTTTCTTTTTCCTCTTCTGGAGTTCATCTTCCTGTGTCGTTTTTTTTTGCTCATGCCTATAATTCGCTTGCCACCGTGTTTTGACATTTTCCGGTTCAAGTAATGTCTAAACTCTGTTTGGTCTTTGGCTTTCGTATCAGTTCAGGTCTATCACGTTTTTCCAAACTAGTTAATAACTTATCAAGCTGCGGCCATAGGAAGCACCCGCTGTGGCCAAAGTGGGCCAATTTCTGGGCTTAGCCGATGACAGGGCGGCGCCGATGTTGGCGAAATTGGATGCTTTATGGGTGTTGACGTGGCCCTCTGTCGGGTGGCGCTACTCATTTGTTTGGCGGCGCCGGCGGCGCCCGTGACACGGTACCATAACAGGTCTGTCGGCCGCTGATGGTCCGCGCCGGGCCGGGCACCGCGCGGCCGCCGCGCTGACAAATAGCGCCCGCCCGGCTGTGTGAGTGCCTGTCTCTGTGTCTATCTGTCTGTGTCTGACTGTCCGCACCACGCCCGACAGGTCTCCAACAGTGAGAGCGAGACGGAGGGAGGAGACAAGGAGGTGGATCTGTCCACGCTGCGAAACCTGCTGCTGCGAACCACAGAGGGAGGCCAGCTACAGGAGAAACCCAACTCCAAAAATGTGAGAGAGCGTCCGGCTGTCGAAGGAGGGTGTGTGTGCGAACACGGTAGCTTTTCAATGACTTGTTTGAGTGGCTAGAAACCTGATAGGTTAACGTTATCTTTGCCTGACTAGGTCAGCAAATTTCATGTGTATCACTCGCCCCTTCAATGTAGGTGCATGAGTAATGGTAGCGGCGATTTACTCCGGGTCTGAATAGCTCAGGCCTCGGCTATAGGTGTCGCCTTTACCCGCCGTGTGCCGGTTTGCGGTATTGCGTTCATTTGTCGCCGGCCTGGCACGCCCTAGCTGAGTCGTAACCGGGCCGAGGGTCGCTCGGGAGTCATTACTGCGTGCGGGCTAAGCCCCTCTAGGCCGCCCTAACTTTGCCACCGATGCCCCGGCCTCCTAACCGCCCACGGGGCTGCTCGCGTCACTAACTTTGCGGGCGGTGGGGTGATTTACAGCGTGTTTACTGTTCCTTGTTGTGCTGACCGTGCCCTGACCAACACCTTTGCCTCTCGCAGGATCGCGCCAAGACACCGGGCGACGCCGCGCTCGCAGCGCTGGAGGAAACCTTCGATAAGTCTCCGAGCGGCCAGCCGGGCTCGCCGGAGCAGCTCGAACTCAAGTACTTTGTGCGTCGGGAGGCGCCGCGGCCGCGCGCGGCCCGCCTGCCGCCGCGTGTGATGACGCCCAGTGAGTCTCAGCGCCAGTACCCGGACGTGCGTCACGGCTGGCTCTGTGACGGCCGGCTGCTGCGGCTCACCGAACCGGACGCGGCCGGCGCGCTGCGCCTGTTCCGCGACCAGTGGCGGCGCGGCCAGCCAGTCCTCTGCTCGGGCGTCAGCAGTCGGCTGGACGCCACCATCTGGACGCCCGACTCGTTCTCCCGCGAGTTCGGCGAGGAGCAGTCGGAAACGGTGGACTGCACGAGCGGCGCGCCTCAGGCAGCCCAGCCGCAGCGCCGCTTCTGGGACGGCTTCACGGACCGGTCGCAGCGTCCGCGCGACGACGCCGGCCAGCCGCGCCTGCTGCGGCTCCGCGACTGGCCGGCCGGCGAGGAGTTTGCCGATGTGATGCCGGCGCGCTACAATGACCTGATGACCGCGCTGCCGGTCACCGAGTACACGCGGCGGGACGGCCGCCACAATCTGGTCGGCTGTGTGCCCGAGTGTTTCGTGCGGCCTGACTTGGGTCCGCGGCTGCACGCGGCGTACGGCAGCGCGGCCTCGGCGGCGGCCACCTGCCTGCGTCAGGACGTGTCCGACTCGGTCAATGTGCTGGCGTACGTGGTCGGTGCTGAGGCGAGCGGGGAGGACGAGGCAGAGGTTCAGCGCGCTGTCGAGGAGGCCGGCTGTGACCCGCTCACCAAGCGCCGTGTCAAGGAGGAGCGCGCCGGCGTCATCTGGCACATCTACCACGCGGCCGACGCTGACAAAATACGGGACCTGCTTAACAAGGTGAGGAACGCTGAACGATGCACTGGTCTTTGTAGTGACGTTCGCGATAGTTGAGAGCGGGCCAGACTAGGAATGGCGAGATTTATTGTCACGGCTGGGTTAGTCTTTGCAGTTCCTCAAAAGTGTGATGGCTGTGAACAGGGTTGTATTATTATGTAAGGCAGTCTCGCTTGCTTTAGAATTCGCTCGAATATTCTAACATCTTTTTGCGGTTTCGGTGGGTCAATTCCGTAAGGCGAGGAACCTTAAAATGGTGCATTGTGTCCGAGCGAAACGTGCAGTAAGCCGGACGTTATCCGAAGACGTGATGGGCGTTGTCCCATATGGTTATCACCTTAGCCGGAAATCTTTTCATTGATTTTGCAGTGAATAGCTGCAAATTGGCTGCTCACTTATTCATAGCTATGGGCGATGAGTGCCATGTTTTCCACAAACGCGACGCCATTGCGTGCAACCAATTTCCATATTGTGTGGTAACCTTCACGAAAAAATGCGCATACCCGTTAAACCGACGCCGCGAAACAGCAAACTCCCCTGGCTCTCCCCTGAGCCGGCGGCGCGGGTCTATTTCAGTTTACATGCCTATCCTCGCCGCCGTGTCCCTGCGAGCATGTAACGGCATATAGATTGGACATTGAGCCGCGGCAGCGGCCGATCTCAGCGGCCCATTTCGGCAAACAGCCCACTTGGCCGCCGCGCCGGCCTGGGGCGGTCCCCGACGGCGCTCCCCGGCGAACGGGGTCCCGGCAAGGCAGACAGATAATTTCCATGTAGTTGCGAATTCAGACCGGTGGGGTCCGCGGGCAGCGGCGCACCTGTAGACTCCGGTGGTCGCGGGGCAACGGCCGACCGCGGCCCCCGGTTCCGGAGAGTGTCACTGGCGGCCAGCGGTTCCGCGTGTGGCCGCCGGCCGTTCGTCTTGTGAGGACGTGCGCCGTCCGACTGAGCCAGCTGCTCCCGGCTGCTACTGAACTCGACACGCACCGGCCGCCCCCGCCGCATGCCAAGTCACATGGACATGCCAAGTCACACGGTGGGCGACGGTACATTTCTGGCGGCTGGTGAACACGGGTATTGAGTGGGTATTTTCATTGCGCTCTGCTGCAGAACGCAGAGGATCAGGCATATATAATGAGCATTGTTTGCATATTTTATTGTCCTCAAATTTCAAAAGACTCATCAAAAATGTTTAGGACGATATTTCTTACGTGGGCGAATTCCGGCGAAATTGGTAATAATAGCCGGATCTCCTTTTTAGAAGCCAAAATCAGCTGAACTATTGCGTACGCCCGAAACAAAGCCCGACATTTTGGGTTTGCTGACTCGGGCTCAGTGTTCTGAATGTGGCCGTCCGTTCCGTCCGTCCCGTCTCTAGGCTGATGAGCCGGCGCCGGCGGTGGGCGTTTGGCAGCTGCAGCGGTGATAGACCGGCCATCTCCTTCTGTCCGCGAGAGTCGGAGTGACTATAATGGGGGCCGGATCACCGGCAAGACGGCCCCGACGTCAGCGAAAACCGCCGGCTCCAAATGAACGGGCCCTGTATGGGCTGTCCGGTGCGGGCGGATCGTAGAATTTGTGTGCCTCGCGCAGGACGGTGCTGTTGAACTTCACGCTGACCGAAAGCGACGCACCGGTCAGCGGCCGCTGCTTTCGGCCATCCAACCGTCCGCTGAAACTCGCGGTGACTCCGGTCCGGCGACATTCTCATGCAGGTCGCGGTCTCCGCGATACCTCCAAGTCGGTCAGACGGTGACGCCGCGCGCGCTGTCACTGAATTATAGGTGCGCGGTCGCGGCGGCCGGTGGCTGCATTATGTAGCCGTGTTAGCACCAGTTGTCCCCGGCGGGGCGCGGCGGGGTGGCCCGCTCAGGTGACCTCCGACCTGTGACGAGCGGTGACCGCTGGGACGGCGGCGCGTTCCCCAGTGACGGGGAAGTGGAGAGAGAAGCTGGGCTGAATGCCAAGTGGGAAGGTGTCATGGGCTGCTTTATGAGGCGTTTGCTGGGCACTTTAAACGTGACATATACTTGCCTCCTATGCTTGCCCCGAGGTGGGGAGAAGGTCTAGCCGTATGCCCTTGGTGAATCACGAGTTTCGAGCCGAGCTACTAAAGCATTCATCGTAGATATATCACCAGAGGGAAGCATTTACCTTGGGCTAATGGCCTGAGGATGCTTTATAAGCTTCTCTTTCATTGCTTTGGCGACTTGCCCACAGGCGACACGCTGCTTATACGCAAGATGGTAATCTTTGTGTAAACATCGTAAGCCTTGAACGCTGAATGCCATTACTGTAGAACGCTGCTTGCGCTTCTGTCATATTGCCGTATGCATTTAACGTATGACTGGTGAAGCCCCGTGACAACGAGCGTCCTTGGGACGTGCTGTGGTAGTTCCCTGTAGCTCATTGACGCTGCCGCTCGTTGCGAACCCGTGTCAACTGCCTCGTCGTTCTCAGCAGTCATCACGAATGCCGTGAACTTCGCTAAATGGACTCATTTGATGGACTGCTGAGTGTGCCTGGCTTTAGGTCGATCGAGCGCGGTCGTCAAGCTCAAGACTTCAAGAGTGGTTCCGTGATCCGGTCGACGGGTTGTCTGGCCGCCGCCGTGGGTAAATACCGTCGACTGACCTCCCCTCCCCTCTCCTCCCGTCAGGTGTCTGTGGAGCGCGGCGAGGAGGCCGACCGGGAGCACGACCCGCTGCTGGAGCCCACCTGGTACCTGGACGGACCGCTGCGGCGCCGGCTGCACGCAGAGTACGGCGTCTCCGGGTACGCGGTACTCCAGTGCCAGGGCGACGCGGTGTTCGTGCCGGCCGGCGCGCCGTACCAGCTGCGGCACCTGCGCTCCTGCATCAGCGCCTCGGTCGAGTTTGTCTCACCGGAGAATGTTGGCGTGAGCTTCGAGCTGACGCAGCAGCTGCGCGCGGCGGCTGTGGCCGCGGCCGCTGCCGAAGGAGCCGGCGCGCAAACCGCCGGCCACGATGACAAGCGGCAGATCAAGAACATCATCTACCACGCCATGAAGGAGGCGGTGTCCTGCCTGCTGCGGGGCGGGGGCGGAGGCGGGGGCGGCTCGCCGCCGGCCGGCGCCAGCTAGGGGTGATCTCTGGGCAGTGGAGGCCGCCGGCCGGCGCCCGGTCCGCCCCATCGGTGATCTCTCGCGCGCGGCCCGCGCACTGGCCGCACCGCGCGGCGGCGTACAAAACGGGGCCGGGCCGGGCGCGCGGCCGGCGGCCACAGGCAGTCTTTCAGCGCCCGCTGGCCGCGCTGGCGGTTGGACCGGCAGATTCCGTGTGTCCGTCGGCGCTACCATTGTACCATGCTGTGTGTATGTGTATGTGTGGGTGTGTGCGAGTGTTCTGTGTGTTCGCGCGCGTCGCTGTGGGTTGTTTTCGCCCGGCCGCCGCCGGGGCCGGGCCGGGGAGTTGTTTCGATGTTGGGCCGCTGTCGTTTCCAGAGCCGGCGCTCGGCCGGCGGGCATTGTCGTTACGTTCTGCAGCAGATGTACTGCTGACGCGTGCTGTCGTCACGCCGGCCTGTACAATGTACAATGTACAGAACTCCGTGTATGTACCGGGCAGGGCCGCGTGCGCCGCGACGCGCCGGTCACCGCCACCGTTCTGTCGTCTGTGTTCACTGTATAGTGTGGCTCGTGTAGTTTTCCAAAATATATGCTGTTCAATTGGACGTGCGCCTGTGGTGAATGGGCGTCGTTGGATGGAGGAAACGAGGCGGCCTAGCCTCATGACGCATTTCAGCGGAGTCGCTATTGAGGCTTGGCTTTTTTTCATTGGTATTGGTTCGTTTCTATGATCATTCGCAGCCATATTTCGGCCTATTACAGTCTCAATTCGCTTCGATACGTTTGGGGAGCCAGTGACCACAGTTACTGTATGGCGTAATAACCATTCGATCTTCACACTTGAATGTAAACAGCGGCACAAATGCATACACTGTCAGCCATGTGATGCATTAGACGACGAAGTTTGGTGTTCTTCTTTTGCTGACACATTTTTACATTGCTCTGGCCCGGCCTTTGCATATATGAATGAAGAAATGAACGATGGAATGAAGGTGACGCGACCTCTTTCAAGTAAGCACGTCCTTGCTAGACAAGGTGCTACGAAAACGGGCCTGCGATGTTTCCTTAGAATTGTTACCGTTTGTGGTTGCAAGTGCAACAGCATCAACTCATGCTGCTTGTCACCGGAACATAAACATTGAACATAGCGCAAGAAGTGTTTTATTTCACTCACTACCAACATTCTCGACTAACTTCCATGGCATATGAGCTAACTGTGGTATGTCCTGAAGCAGCAACAGGTCTTGCTGGTATGATGGCCACTCCCCATCACCCGCTGACCTGATATAGACCGAACGATCGCTCACATATGCCAACCTTTACCCGCTGCATCCATTACCAATATGCCTACTCGCTGCACGGGACTGAATATTATCATCGTTTTCCTTCATCCTACCGGCACGTTCAGCGAGAGAAGATGATGCATGATGCCATGACGGTGTACCGTCCGATCGGCCGGCAGACTCCCAGACCAGAACCAACCACTTTGTTTGTTGGCTCTGTGTCTGATGTTTGTGTCTGTGTGTATAGTTGACGTTTGTCTGTGCGCGTCGTTCCCCAATCCCTCTGCCGGTCGACGGGCCGGGACAGTGTAACAAACTGCGGTGGCGACATCCTCGCGCCCGGTCACGTATTGCACAAACAACTCGGGACTCGGGAGGGCGTGACTAGGACGTGCGCTCAATTCGGCCGACAGCTCACTTGCGCACAGGCAAATTGATGTCACGTCGGAAAGGATGGAAGTAATCAAGCTGAAAAAATCGCCGTCCAAAAAAAAATTATATTCACTATTTTTGTCGAGTACCTAGTCCTGAATGCTTGTTACCGTAGACTGTAGAGCGATACGCAGTATAGGTGGGATTGTCACCGCACGCTGTAATGCCTCATGAATCTATGCTGCTCGCACATCCAAATAGCGAGGCTGCACTCATATTATTATCGAGTTAGTGAGTGAATCGTAACGTAAGTAGTAAGTACTTATTCTATCAAAAACGCTGCAGCTGTTTAGCAGGCAGTCTGGGTGAGGGGAGGGGAGGGGTTGAGGAAGGGGAGGGGAGAGGCGGAGGTGGGGGAAGGGGAGGGGAAGGGAGGGGCACCGAGCGGTCCCTTGCGCATGCGTAGTAAGCGCAAGTGTGTAGTTACGGGTGAAAATTGCGTGTCACAGCGCGCTACGACTCGAGTGAGTTTGTGTTGTGCGTCTGCTGCCAGTGTCACCCGATTTTCATCTGTTTTGCGACGTGTTATTTGAGTCAATCGTTTTCGAATGACTCGCATCTGATCCCGGACAAATGGTGAGTGTGAGCTGTGCCCTGTTAGAAGCTGTAAGCAAGGCTGCGCTGCAGCCGACCTGAACCCGATGAGACGCCAAGTCGGAGACTCGAATGGACTTCCGGATGGATGGACTTCCAAAGGTAAGTGAGTCAGCCTTCTGCACTGATATGAAACTGAAACAACTTGATTGAACTTGAATTGTTAGATTTTTTCGTTCCTTCAGACTTGTTTAGACACATGTATGCCGTATCATTATGCCAGTACCTACCTAATCCGGCCCTGTATTGCTCGCAAACGAAAATGCTATAACAATAGACGCTTCGATAAGAAAGTATAATACGAGTAAATGAAGAGGTCAGGTCAAAAAGGGAGAGGTACGGGGCTGGAACGCATACCGGACCCGAATTGTCTAGCTGCGGCCTCTCCCGGCCCGCCTGGCTCCATTCCGGTTGACCAGCCCATCGCTCGGCCCGCCTGACCCATCGCTCGGCCCGGCTGACCCATCGCCCCTCTCTCAGCGCTCTTACAGCGTCTACACTGTGTGCAATCTGCGCTAAGGGCGGATGGCCGTGATCGAGGCGCGCCGTTTGGGAGATTATGACGCGATTCGGTGAGAGCATGGCCACATGGTGCGCGAAGGACCCGATCAGCCCATACGAGGGAAGAAACTGACGGTAAAACGATATAATCCCGACCCGGTGTGCTCCATTAACCAAACTGCGACAATATTTGGAGCGAAACGGGCCGTATAGCTGACTGACCCAAGATGCTGTTATGCAGAAATGATGTAGGACGGCATGTCAGCCTCAGGCAATGGCTCAGGCTAATCCGCCCATCCGTCTTTTTATTCTGAGGACCAAACAGGGGCGGATCCAGGAAAACTCCAAGGGGAGGGTCATGAATCGAAGTGGTGCCCCTACCTATACCCAAAATTAAAAACTCAACGGATTTCGTCCACTTCATTTTGGTGGTGCCCCCATTTTCAGTTTTTATTTTTATTTTTTATTTTTAGTCAGTATCTTAACTCTTAGCCACAACCACATTTACCAATTGTAAGCAAGTATATATGAATGTGCTATGTGTATATGTTGCAGGCACTTTAGAAAATCAGTCATTTTGTAAAATGCCTAGGCATTTTACAAAAAAGACGGCTGTTTGAAAAATGACTGAACGCAACCAGGCTTTTTTCAAAATGGCTAGCCATTTTACAAAATGACTAGGCATTTTGCAAAATGCCTGACCAGCATGGAACGTAGATCCCACTACAGATACTATGGCCAACAGTTTTTGGACGTCTTTCTATATCCTATACCTATAGGTACGTGTTCAGCCTGTAGCTGATCGATTTGAAGCTCTGTGATAACGACAATGCTGAGTAACGACCAGGTTGAGTTGCAGACTCGGCGTTGGCCTGAAACGGCCCGGCACCCGGTCTGTCGGCCGCTGTGGCCCTGTGTCGGCGCTGTCGGCCTGAAACGGCCCGGCACCCGGTCTGTCGGCCGCTGTGGCCCTGTGTCGGCGCTGTCGGCCTGAAACGGCCCGGCACCCGGTCTGTCGGCCGCCCTGGCCCTGTGTCGGCGCTGTCGGCCTGAAACGGCCCGGCACCCGGTCTGTCGTCCGCGGTGGCCCTGTGTCGGCGCTGTCGGCCTGCACGGCCCGGCGCCCGGTCTGTCGGCCGCCATGGCCCTGTGTCGGCGCTGTCGGCCTGCACGGCCCGGCGCCCGGCGTCGGCCGTTACCGGCCCAATCTCGACGTCGTCGGCCTGAAACAGGCCCGGCACCCGGTCTGCCGGCCACTGTGGCCCAGTGTCGGCGCTGTCGGCCTGAAACGGCCCGGCACCCGGTCTGTCGGCCGCCATGGCCCTGTGTCGGCGCTGTCGGCCTGAAAACGGCCCGGCACCCGGTCGGTCGGCCGCAATGGGCCCTGTGTCGGCGCTGTCGGCCTGAAACGGCCCGGCACCCGGTCTGTCGGCCGCCATGGCCCTGTGTCGGCGCTGTCGGCCTGAAACGGCCCGGCACCCGGTCTGTCGGCCGCCATGGCCCTGTGTCGGCGCTGTCGGCCTGAAACGGCCCGGCACCCGGTCTGTCGGCCGCCTTGGCCCTGTGTCGGCGCTGTCGGCCTGAAACGGCCCGGCACCCTGTCTGTCGGCCGCCATGGCCCTGTGTCGGCGCTGTCGGCCTGAAACGGCCCGGCACCCGGTCTGTCGGCCGCCATGGCCCTGTGTCGGCGCTGTCGGCCTGCACGCCCCTCGCCCGGCGTCGGCCGTGTACCGGGCCCAATCTCGACGTTGTCAGCCTGGAACGGCCCGGCACCCTCCGCTGCCGGTGTAACAAACACACGCACAACACGACTCATAACAGGTACCCGGTAACTCGTCAACACAGCCAGCCATATCACACATGACCCATGTGGAGGACGCTGGTGCCGGCGTACCGGACCCACCTGCCATGCCGTGACTGTCGCGGTCGTAGTGATAAGCGGTGTCCATGCCCCGTTTCTCTATGAGTCGTCCTCGATGATGCTCACTAGGCGCCGTACCCACACTTCTCACGAGCCCGACTCACAGGACGTAAAGCACACGCTCTATCACACAAGGACGCGCTGTCCGCGGTCCATCTCCGCTCCCCGCCGGCCTCTGCCGCAGACTGACGGCTGTCCCCTCCGTCCCGTTTCCCCCTCCCTCCCCGTCCTCGCCCCCTCCCCACAGAGTGTTCTCCCGACCCTGCCTCGGACCAGGCGGCTCGCGGAGTCTTCAATTCGCGCCTCGTCGAGCCACTAAACTTCATTAGGGGGCCCTAATGTCGATTAGTTAACGCTGTAAAAACTCCCAAGTACATCAACGCCGTTCATGTTCTGCCTGAAACTAGACCTAACAAAACCAGCCGGAGACCGGCCCTAGTCAATAGGCAGGCCCGGTTGATGTGCAATTACATGTAAACGAATGAGTGTAGTCTTTGTTTGATTGTGCCATTACGGACAAAACTGCATTATGTATTTGGACATTAAAAACACGTTCGAATTTAATTATAATTTCCCTCATCCTCACATTTTAACACGCGCAGTGGAAGGGGGGGGGGCGGATTCCGCCCACCCCTCCTGTTTTTCGCCAATAACTCGCGCCGCAAGGTTTTCTTTAGGTTTTCTTCCTAACTTTTCTTTGGAATAAAAAAGCTCTCTGATCACAATGAATATTAAAGCAATAATTAACAAAACACGATTAATTTTGCTCTGTGGCAACAGCTTTGAGTACCTACTTGCATGGTCCCAGTTAAAATATCAAGCTCCACATCGGGAGAACCATCAGGTCGCTTGGCGTAGGACGAGAGCGTTGGTT